ACACACACACACACACACACACACACACACACACACACACACACACAGGGTGCTTTTATAAACACACTGGCAGTATCATCACCACTGCTTACAGTTTTTCTCAATTGCTAAAACACTAAAACCCATTGGCTGAACAAAGTTCTCAGTTGCCTGAACTCATTTAGCTAATTGTGCAGTCTGTTGTAAACACAAGTGGCAACAATCAAATACAAAGAGAGAATACATGTCATTGATTAAACACAATCACTCAAAATTGATTTCACTTGTATCAAATGATGTGACACAACCAATATAAGCCAGTTTAGAGAGCAAACAGGTGGTTGAAGGTGGGAAGGAGAAAGTCTGAGAATGGATAGAAGAAACAATGTGAGAGGACGAGGACGAGGACAAGTGCGTACGCGAGGTGGGCGACGAGGAGGAAGAGGAGGAGGGCAAGAAAGAGGAAGAGGAGGACGAATAGGAAGAGGAAGACAAAAAGTGTCATAGACCATGTTATAGTCCACGGACTGACAATGAGGGAAGCAGGACTTAGAGTGCACCCCAATTTGAGCCGATTTTCTGTGTCCACCATAGTAAGGACATTCAGAGAAGAGAACAGGTACAGTATGCTACTGTATTTTTGTAATTTCAAATTTACTGTACTACACTATATGCAGCTGTTTCAATAGACATTTGTAAAGTTCATCACTGTATGTATTGTACTGCATGAATATTTTTTGTAACTGCACATCTACTTTTTGTAGAACTGCAAGGCTGCCACATGCAGGTGGAAGGAGAGCTATATTCACTCAGGAGCAAGAGACCGTTATAGTGGGCATGGTCCTTCAAGATAATTTAATACGACTCAGAGAAATCCAGGAACGAGTGATACAAGACAACACACACTTCCAGGGAATCGACAGTGTGAGCATTTCCACAATTGACCGTGTCCTCCATCGTAACAGGATACGAATGAAACAAGTATACAGAGTACCTTTTGAGCGCAACTCACCAAGGGTGAAAGAACTGCGAGCTCAGTATGTGCAAGTAAGTGTACATTCAGACATACAGTACTGCCACATACTATGTGAATGACATTACTCTTCAGTACATGCAATGTATGTGAATCAGAAGTGCATACAGTAGGCCTAATTGAACTCTACAATATAGCACTGTCTCTGTACAACTTACTAAATGATACATACATTATATTGTATTCCTACACAGACAATATTTGACTTGGAATCCTTGGACAGACCCCATGAGTTAATCTTTGTCGATGAAGCAGGCTTCAATCTAACAAAGAGGAAAAGGAGAGGCCGAAACGTGATTGGACAGCGGGCCATTGTTGAAGTCCCTGGTCAACGAGGTGGCAATGTCACAATCTGTGCTGCTATCAGCAACCATGGTGTTCTACATCACCATGTTACACTCGGGCCACATAACACCCAGCATCTTCTAAGATTTCTGGCCAAACTAAGAGATATTTTATTTGAGCAGCAGGGTCAAGAGCTAAATGAGAATCCCATTCCCACCAATGTGATAGTGCTGGACAATGTCAGTTTCCACCGAGCTGCTCAGGTAAGGGAATGGTTTAACATCAATGGTCAGTTTATGACCTTGTACCTCCCTCCATACTCGCCTTTCCTGAATGCGATTGAGGAGTTTTTCTCCTCATGGAGATGGAAAGTGTATGATAGACAACCCTACACCAGAGTAAATCTGCTGCAAGCCATGGAATTAGCCTGTGGTGATATAGGTGAGGAATCATGTCAGGGCTGGATACGGCACACAAGAGGCTTCTTCCCCCGTTGCCTCAGGAGAGAAAATATTGCTTGTGATGTCGACGAAGTGCTCTGGCCTGACCCAGCCCAAAGACAAGAAGAAGCACATTGATGACATGTTGACTCCTTTGATTTTTGTCCCTTTTACTGTAGTATTGTATACTGTAGTAGGCCTACAGTGCATTGTAGGCTGTATAATGTACAATAAACAAATTGTATGGCCTTGAACATCGTGCTTTCTATTTGTTACAGTAACAGTACTGACTGCTCAACAGATTTTGACTGGTTGCAGGTTCATAACAACAAAGAACAAGAATTACAGTATCACAGAGACAAAGGACACGTTTGTGAGATGCAGGGTACAGTACTGTAAAAATAGGGGTACAAGGAGGAGGAAGAACAAAAGAAATTGCAAAGAGCAAAGCACAGTAGTAATTTCTGATCAATTTTGAGCTACTGTAATAGAACATGTTTTCATTCATATGAAATTTGTTTTGAGATTAAAAATCTACTTCTCCCTGAGAACTATATGTTTTGAACAATGTGTTTTCTATTTATTGGTGTATTGTTTACTGACTGCTTAATATTGTATATTATTTTGATCACTTTGTTTATGATTTGAGAGCAGTGTTTGATTTTGAGCACAGGTAAAACTGTTTTGAGGCGAAAGTTTCATTTTGCAAGAGGATTCAGAGGTTTTGTAAATAGTGCTTGAAGATGAGGTTTTGTGTTTACAGTTTTGAGAAAATGGGTGACCGTTTCAAGAAATGTGTCTTAGCAATCGAGAAAAACTGTAAGTGTTTTACAAATGAACGTTTAGGCCTCATGCTATTCTAAGATAATAGTTGACTTGTACCCAGCGGGGGAGATTCACCATTTAGCTAAATGTCAGAGAGAGATTCCAGTGGGTGAGCATGGAGTGTTGTAGTTATTAGTCATTTTCAAAACATGGGGCTCATGACACCAGTTCAACTATTTCTGAATTATCACCTCTGCTTTGTGTGTGTGTGTGGTGAGTGTGTGAGTGTGTGGTGTGTGTGTGTGTGAGAGTGTGTGAGTGTGTGTGGTGTGTCTGTGTGTGAGTGTGTGGTGTGAGTGTGTGAGTGTGTGTGTGTGTGCGTGTGTACCTCCTCTGGAGCTCCGCTGCCAGGAAAGAAGTTCCCGTCGTCGTAGCGATGGAGGGAGATGTAGAGGACGCTGGGGTCACTGTAGAAGGCCTGCTGGGTGCCGTTGCCATGGTGAATGTCCTGCGGTGGCGTGAGAGAGACGGTCAGTCAGTCGTTGCGATACAGACACTCTGAGCACACTGCGTTTGGTGTATTGAATAAAAGCCCGCTCAGAAAACTATTAACAGTACAGTTTGGATTTGTGGGAGTGGACGGGGGGGGGCAGCACCAACATGTATGTAAGCCACCGAAACAAGTTATTATCAGTTAAAGTGTTCGCTATAGTTAGATTAGTCATCTTGCCATCAGACGGCCCTTTCTGACGGGGAACTGAAGCCGTTGTATCCATCTATGCTTCAAGACCACAAGACTCCATTGACAAGAAAAATGTTTACCTTGCAGAAAAACTTGAGTTGCTGGTCGGCCGCTGCCTTGATCAGAACTAATCCCTACTAACCCTTCAAAACACCAAAGTCACACAATAACACAAACTCACTAAACTGTTGTTGCCGTGGTAGTCAAATGACTATTTTTGTCAAAGGAGTCTGGTGACTTTGAAGACAGCACAGAAGCATATAACAGCTTCAGCTCCCCATCGAGGAAATATTCTGAATATAGCGAACCCTTAAACAGACTTTTGTAGGTGGTTTGCTAGTGGCCCCATCCAGCAGTGCATTGGTATCCGTCTGTTTCTCCAGACTGTGGGCGTGCAGACCTGTAGAGTACCAGTGGGGTGCTTGGGAGATGCCGGGCCGTTATTTAAGTTTGATTCATGAAACAGCACGGTCATCCACAGGTGTATTTATTTGCAATTTCATTAAGCTGCAGGTGTTGAGGGTTTTGCTGCTTTTAATGCATTGATGCATTAATGCATGATCATACATTTATACCATCACTCCATTCAACAATATTGAAATAAAAATGGAATTTTCTATGAATAATGCTCATTATTAATGAGTAATTCACGCTTTTATGCCGAAAGTAGTAAATAAAAAAGTGAAATTCTTTCCAGGTGCCGACAGATTGTGTGTGTGTGTGTGTGTGTGTGTGTGTGTCAGTGCGACTCACCCAGTCCACAATGAGGATCTTGCCCACGCCCAGCTTCTGTTGCAGCAGCTTGGTAGTGATGGCTACTGAATTAAAGAAACAAAACCCCCTGTTCACACACAAACACACACACACACACACACACACACACACACACACACACACACAC